GAAGAAGATGTGGGGCCAAAATAGAACCACAGTGACTGAGTTTATTCTTCTTGGCTTTACCAGTTCTCCTACATTCCAACGCCTTTTCATTGTGATGTGCCTGTTCATGGCTCTGGCCACAGTGCTTGGCAATAGCCTCATTATCCTCCTGGTTTGGAGTGAGTCCCACCTCCACACAGCCATGTATTTTTTCATTGGGAACCTCTCTTTGCTGGACATCCTTTTCACAATAATCACTGTCCCTCAGATGCTTGTACACTTAGCCTCTGGTGTCAATATAATTTCATTCAATAGATGCATGGCCCAACTTAACCTGAGCCTCTCCTGTGGGATGACTGAATGCTTCATTCTGGCTTTCATGGCCTATGACCGCTATGTGGCAATATGTCAGCCTCTAAGATATCCCATCATTATGAGAATGCGTGTATGCATGAAGATGGCAGGGGTCTGCTGGATCATGGCATTTTTTAATGCTGGTATATTGACAGCCATCGCTATCACTTTCCCTTTCTGTGGTCCCAACCAGATTAATCATTTCTATTGTGAGTTACCAGCAATGCTTCAACTGGTCTGTATGGATACATATATGGCAGAGTCCCTTATCTTCGCCCTGAGTGTGATAGTACTCATGCTACCTTTTACGTTCATAGTGGTTTCTTATATGCACATTGCCAGAGTGGTGCTCAGTATGCACTCAACCAGAGGTCATCAAAGAGCCATCTCCACCTGTGCTACACACCTCACTGTGGTTACATTGTTTTACAGTACCATTGGCTTTACTTACTTAAAACCCAGGTCTAATCATGTAGCAGACCAGGAGAAAAAGGCCTCAGTCTTCTATGCTCTGGTCTCTCCCATGCTGAATCCCATCATCTACAGCCTGAGGAACAAGGATGTTAAAGGGGCATTGAGCAAAGTCATGGGGAAAGTCAGCTGAGTTACACATGCATTTTGGTTTGAAACTGGAGATGTTAATTTAAGAGTATCAGCTTCCTTCATCCATCTCAGGAATGTTCACATCTTGTTTTCCTGTAAGTGCCACAAAGGTTGAATGTTGGAACTCTGTAATTATGTGGACTGAGCATACTGCCTCGGAAGTCCATCATGTGCCTGAAAAATCTTCACAATGTTGCTTCTATGCCCGTTTCCTAAGTTGTCTTTTAATGCAAAAGTATCATACTAAGAACATAGGAACATTCTTTATGATACTTATTAACAAAAAATTAATGTCTTGAGAGTAGAACAGAAATTATAGAAGAACTATCTTGTTACATTCTTGAGGACTATGGCAATTGTTATCACCTTAATGACATATAGAACATAAATTATACTTTTGTACTTATTTGA